CCCCATGACCCCGGCGGCGCAGAATGGATCGGCCGCAGGCCCCCACCCCCCCTGCCGCCCGCTGCCCCCGCGCCCGTCCCCGCCGCGCGCCCCGCCGCCGCGCCCGCGTGCGGGCCCGACGTCCAGCGCGGCAGACGGCGGCAGGACGCCGCCCGCGCCGCCGCCGCCTGCGGCGGCCGCGGCGCGCGCCAGCATCGCCGGCGTCCTGAGGGAGCCCAGGGCGCCCGCGTCATCCAGCGCTGCGCGGTCCGCCTGATGACGCAGCTGCGCGGTGCGCTGCCGCCCGTCAACCGAGCTCGCGGCTGCAAAGGCGGTCGCAAACACGTTCACGGGCTCGCCCGGGGAGGGGCTGGCCCCGGGCGTCGCGCCAAAGGAGATGCACGACTTGGACGCGCGCATGCGCGACGGCCCGCCGCCGCCGCGGGCGCCCGAGGGGCTGAGCACGCCGCCACCGCTGCCGCCGCTGCTGCTGCTGCCGCGCGGCGGCCGGAAGAGCGGCGGCAGGCCCGCGCCGCTGCTGCGGCCACCGTAGCCGGCGTACGTCCCGGCGCCCACGCTGCCGCCGCAGCCGCCGACGGCGCCGCGCAGGCCAAACGGCCCGAGGCCGGGCGACGGCGACGCGGGCTCGGGCGCGCCGAGCGCCAGCAGCGCGCCCCGCCCGCCCCGCACGCGCGCCTCCCCGCCGCAGCCCGCGTCGTCGCCCTCCCCCGCGTCCCCGCCGCCGCCGCCGTGCCCCGCGCGGACCAGCCTGCCGTGGCGCCCCTCAAAAAAGCTCGTGGCAGGAACGCTGCTCGACACCTGCCGGCCCCAGCCGCCGCTTGCGCCGCCGCCGCCTGCACTGATCCCCTGCACGCTCGCGAGCAGGCTGCCAAACAGGCCGCCGCCCGCTGAGCTTCCGACAGAGCTGGGGCTGAGGGTGTGGCCGCTGGGGCTGCCGGCCGCGCTGCTGCCGCTGCCCTGCAGCTGCGACCACAGCAGGCCGCGGCCGGGGCTGGGGCCGGGGCTGCCGGCGGCGTTTTTGAGCTGCGGGCGGACGCCTGTGCCTGCGCAGGGGACGGGCGGCGGGCCGGGGCGGATGGGACGGGGCAAACGGATGAGGCTTTGGGATGCCAGGCGCTGGGGCGGCGTCAATGCTGGCTGGGGACACTGCTATAGCCAGGGGGCTGTGACGGCATCGATGGCTGAACTGCGCCCTGCCAATTCGCCGGCAGCATCAAAGCCTCAGAAGGCTCCTCAACCCCATCACTAAACCACAAGCGTGAACCCTGGCCCTAAATCACCCAAAACATTGATCCCACCAGGCTTGAACGCCGGCGCGGGCGCCTTGGCCCCGCCCTGCTGCAGGCCGCCGCCAGGCTGCCACGTCTGCGGCCCGCGGTACGGCTGCGCACCGCCGCCGCCGCCGCCGCCGCGTTGCGGCTGCGGGGCCTGCGGCTGGTACCCTTCCGCGCCGTCACCGCCCTGCTGCTGTTGTTGCTGCTTCTGCTGCTGCAACTGCTGGCGTTCCGCCTGCTGCTGCAGCGACCCGCGGCCGCTGCCCGATGAGCCGCCGCTGCGCGAGCCCGACTTCACAGGTATGGGGATGGCCGTCGCGCGCGGCGACGGCGACGCGCCGCCTGGAAACCCCGCGCCCGGCGAGGCGGCGCGCGGCGCAGACGGCACAGCCGGCACCGCCCAGCCGGCTTCGGTTGAGGTTGGTGGCGGCCCTGCCTGCGTTTGGCTGAGGGCACGTGCGTCTGGGCGGGACTCGGCGGCAGGGCGGGAGAGCGGCTTTGGTGGGGCCTGCGGCTGCGCCGGCGACCCGCCTGCTCCCAGCAGCTTGGCGATCGCGCCCAGTAAGAAGACGTCCCCACTGCCGCCGCTGCTGCCGCGGCCCCCCTTCGCACCCGCCTGCCGCTCCAACGCCTGCGACGCGGCTCGCGGCGCAGCCACATGCTGCTGCTGCTGCTGCTGCTGCTGCGGGGGCGCCTGCCGGCCCGTGGCCGGCGCTGGCGGCGGCGCGTGCTGGCGGGGTGCTGCCTGCTCTGCCTGTTCGCATGCGAGCACCTCCCCGTGCAAGGTCCTGCCGCCGCCATTGGCAGACAGGCCGCGGCGCAGCAGGCTGCCCCCGCCAGCCTCGCGGCAGGGAGCGGCAGCGGTCTTGGGCGCTGGCGCCTGCTGCACCGGCAGGCTGGCAGGATCAGGGGGCAACTGCGTGGCAGCTGCGTCCCCGTCTCCCCCAGCACCGGCGACCACAAAGCCCACGGTCACCGCGCCGCCGCCACCGCTGCTGCCGCCGCCGCCGCTGCTGCCGCCGCCGCCGCTGTTGCCGACGCCGCCGCTGCTGCCGACACCGCCGCTGCTGCTTGGGGCGCCTGGGGCCGCGGCCACCGCGAGGCGGGCGCCGGGGCCGTCCGCCGCTGCCGCCTGCTGCGGCACGACGGCAGCGTCTGCGTGGAGTGCTGACGGCTCGAGCTGCACCGAGCGGCAGGCGTCGTCCTCGCCGTCTCGCCCCATCAGCACTGCCGCGTCCGGCGAGTCACCATCGGCATCACACAGCCCATCGCTCCGCGCTGCCGCGCCGCCGCCCTCGCGCCCGCTGGCGCCCTGTGCGAAGGGGCTGCTGGCGCGGGATGCAAACAGCGCGCCCACGACGCACTCTGCCACGTCATGCTGCAGCGCCGAGTCTAAGCGGCTCTGAACTACAGGGGTGGCGCCAGCAGCCTGCCTCGCCGCATCCGCCAGCTCTGCGTCCCCTTGCGCCGCCGCAGCTGCGGCAGCAGCTGCCGCAGCGGCCGCGGCGGCCGCCGCTGCCGACGCAGCGGGATCGAGTGCCGAGGGCAGCTCCGACTCCCAGATCTGGCTGAGTGTGAGCTCAGGAGGCCGCCAGACTGGTGCCAGCGTAGCGCCGCACTCGTCCTCTGCGGGGGTGCCGCCAGGCGCGCTCTGCACCCACCATCGCCCCGGCGCGCCCTCCAGTCCAGCCCGCGAGGCCAAGGGCTTGCAATGCTGGTCCTCGAACGGGGTGGGGAGGCAGCACTCGTCCGCTTGCAGCACACTGCAGGATTTCGAGTCTGCCTGCCTCTGCACCGTCGCCACCGGGTCGAACGTGGTACCCATACTCGACCTGTCAAATCCTATATTTGTCTCGGGCTGGCTTCCCCACAGCCGGGAGTCACGGGAACTCGGCCATGGCGAGCATCTTCTTCACGATCGACCATGAAATGACAGAACCAGGTGCATGTAATCTAAGCATTACACGTGGGATTGGGCGCACTGACATGCGACGCAAAGTGTGTGCGCATGACGCATGCGAGTGCCCGCTGCCCTGCTTGTTCTGCAGAGTGCGCGCGCCCGGGCACCCAGGGGGGAGGGGGGCACCTTGTTTCCACAGGGTCTGAGGAAAGCGTGCACTGTACGGCTGCGAGGCAGCCGGTTGACCCGGGCGACGACATGGAGGCTTACCTTCTTCGTCCAGTACAGGCATCCGCTGCCCATGCATTGTACATTGGTGGGCAGCTCTTGCTGTGCGCGTGCCCATGCCGTCGGCAGTAACTGCGCTTTGCCACATGTGCAGCCACCATGAGTCATCGACCCACGATGTTGAGCAGGATGAGGAAAGCGGATTGCACAAATAGCGCTCAGATGGGCGATGTAAGACAGGAACGAGGGGATGCAGCGAAAACACCCATCCGCAGCGCCGGTGTGATGACGAGGTGCCGAAGCAATTGATTGTACTGTAATGCACAGCCATTCTCAGCTTGCACTGCTGGCATGGCCACCAGCTTCAAGCGCGCCACTGACAATACGCCGAATACAAAAATTTTCAGCACCTGAAATGCAATGCACAACTGTGGCACAACAGAATGAGATTTTGTCGTCCTTGCAGATCTTGCCAGGCCTCTGACGCAAGTGCAGGGTTGCCCCATCTGATGCAATCAAAATAGCCTGCGCACACGCAACCGAGGCGCCCACAAATGCAAGCCAAGATTATGCAGCGGCTTGGCACGGCCCGGGCCTGCTGCTGCGCATTGTTGCCACAACCAAGCCCGCCGCTACTGCCGCGGCGTCAGCACGAGGAGGTTGTAGCAGAACAGAAGCATCACCACCCAGAACAACACGTTGGTGGTGCCCGCCTCCGGGCCGAACAGCGCCAGCGGCGCTAGCAGGCCGCGCAGGCCGTCGCTTGCGCCTGCGGCCCCCTGCTGCGCCAGCTGCAGTGCGGCGCCTGCCGCGGCCTGCGGGGGTGCCGGAGTGCGATGACAGAGGACAGGGCTGCTTGTGAGACTGCGTTGAGTGTTTGTGGCCTCCTGACGCAGGGGAGGGGTGTGCCGGGAACAGATGCACTTGCTGGGCCTGGACGCAGCAGCTGGGGCCTGCTCTGTGAACGGTCTGCGCACGCAGACAAACATGGCGTGGCTGCGAATAGTATTCCGTTTGCAGTCTGTTTGGCAAGTTTATGCCACGCAACGCATCGCAGGGCAATGCAACGCCGTGTAGGCCCACCTTCAGCGCCTCCTCGTCGGGCAGCTGCGCCGGCTGCCCCAGAGTTGCTGTCAGCCGGTCAACTTGCTGCTGCAGCGCGTCCAGCGGCAGTGCTTCCCGTGGTAGCTGAGGCGACGCGGCCACTGCCGGCTCCGCAAACATTGGCTGCGCAGCGGCTAAGCAGACTGCCCGAGACGAGCGCATGCTGAGACTGTGGAACGATGGTGCCCATCGCGACCGGCTGCAGCTGCTGCACGAAGGACCTGATAAGGCCTTCATTGCTGACATTGCAGGAGGCCTCGCTTGAAGGCGCTGGACTCTGCTGATCGCGTGGCCGCACGCACAAGTCGGGTCACCGCAATCGACTCCGGGGCGGACGTGTGCTGCTTACAAGCTCTGAAGCATGGAAATATGGATTTTGGGAGGGCGTTTGTGCATTGCCCTTCGCACTGACTGCACTCAATGCTAAGACAGACGCAAGCGTCATGCACACGTGGGTGGAAGGGGGGCGCAAGCGGGCCGGTTGAGGGTGACCAAACGGGCGAAGGCGGTGTGCTACAGGATGGCAGGCGGATGCGAATCAGGCCAAATCGTTGCTGCGGGCCGCACGTGGACCGAAGGTGCCGTGCCGTCGAGGCGTGCGCTCTTGTGTGGGTGACCGCAGCAACCCAAGGGCGCCCGCTGTCACGGGGGTTGCCTGCTGTCGAGGCTGGCCCTCAGGTCGACAGGCGCAAACAAGGCCCATTATGCCTGCCAGGGCCTCCCTTGCAGAACAAAGAGGCCGTCGCATGTACCTACTGGAGGTTTGTGGCAACACAGGTTTGACCGCAGATCTGACCAGGCGCCCGGAGGTATGACCACAACACCAGCAAGCTGTCACAGCGCCGCATGCACCTCCCAACCCAGGCTCAATCTGCCTGTCGCCACGCTTGTTCACCCACGGCTTGCTGGACGCACCCGACTCACCACAATGTCGAGCTGTTGCACGGGTGTATGTGCTGTGATCGCATGCATGGCCACGCATGGGGCTTAAGCTCGTGGCTTGTGTCCCGTCCCCCTCCGTCACCACCCACACAAAACAGCGCTGCCAGGCCTACAGCATGGGAACCACACTTCGGCCTGGCAATTTGCTGCGCGTCGATGATACCACTGTGTTGCGGGGGCCCAGGTTACTTGATGGGGCTAATGGCGTTGACAGCACCAGCAGCGTGCGGCTGGTAACAGCAGCTGGCGGCTGACAGCTGCAAGCTACTTGACGCCGTACCCTGCCAGCCCGGTGCCAATGTCCTGTGCCCCGCAAGCTCACACGCACGTCTGCACAGGCCATGCCACGGCCATATTACCCGCACTGGATGCCACAAACGAATTGCAGAAGCTCTCACAGAGCTGGCCATCCAGCATGAACGCTGGTAACCAATGCCACACTCCAAGGATTGGGCGAGTATGGCCACATGGGCGCCGAAGGCGCGCCGCAAGCGCATGGCATGTGCGCAGAGTTTGTCCACAGGGACTTCGGAAAAGGGGGCGCAGTGCGCGAGCGGGATCGATGCACGCGTTCATAATATGTGCATCCAGACGCGCCGCTGTTGTGCGCAGCAGCTGCAGCTCGTAAAGCAGCACTCCTGCAACAGTGAGAGGCTGCCTGGATAGCACTTCGTCGCTCAGGGGCGTTTGGTGCCCCAACAAATGCAACCTTGCTAGATCAGGGGCGCCACCTTATGCCAAAAACAAAGCTCCAGGGGTGAAACCATCCTGCCAAAGTGGGACAGCTCTCCCAGCAGCAGAGCACGGCGGGTTGCTTGGTCGGTTTTCACGTGGACAGAAGGGGCGACGCCGCGCTTTACGGGCAGCTGCCGGCTGCAGCCAGTGGCGCAGCCCACGCGATCCAGCCTGCGCGCTCACACTGCGTAGCACAGCTTGCTGTCAAAGCTTGACAGGGCTGCGGGCAAGGGGGGGCGGGGGAGGCCAGCAACAGCGAGGGCAGCGGGGGGCGTTGAGCGGGGCCAGGAGGTGGCTGCTAGCATGCAGAGGCGTCGGGAGCGAGCCCGGATCGCAGGGGCAGGGGCGAGGCTGCATCCCGAGGGGCAAATCACAAGCACGCGCGACTGCTCCGGCGGCCGCCCGCCTCGAAGCAGCGTCACACCCCTAGCCCTAAGCACCCACGCAAACGGCCCAGGTCGGCCCCGTGCCCTGCCCACCGAGCGCAAACGCCTGCAGCGCGCTGAGGGGCCAGGCGAAGTCGAGCGCAAACTCCTCGCCTCCGCGCTTCCCAAACTGCATGGCCATGTCTGTGCCCAGCCTGCCGGCGTTGTGGTCCCAGTGGACGAGCTGGAAGTTCTTGGCGCTGGACTTTGTCACGCGGCCGCGGAAGTCCAGGTAGTGGACTGGAAGGGGTCGGGGTTGGGGGTGAGGGTCGGGGTGGGGTTTGGGGGGGGGGACAGGTGGG